TTATTTTACTTACACTCATCCTCACTATGTTTTAACACGTTGTAAATAATATAACTTAACGCATTTTATTGGACAAGATTTCCTGTGAACCTAGTAACTGTAATGTCTTTGAAACGTTGCCGTTTGCAATTGAAAAACAAATTATACATGATAAAATCGATGAAATATTTTTATTTACAACAACTAAATAATAAAAAATTGTACGAAGAATCCATGGATCCAAAATTATTTAAATTTAGCAGGCTTCAAATATCTATTAAGCTCCGGTTAAAATCGCAGAATCGATCAATTTATTGTTGTGTGTTTGCTGTGATGTTTCATAATTACGAAACATTTTATCTAATTAGCCTCTCAACCATTTTGTTCTCATTTTCATTTCTGGTGTTGTTAATTTTCGCGCATTCGTGTTGGAAGACGGAATAACCCGTCTACGTTGACAGCACGTTGACGGCGATTTAGGCGGGCCCCTCCAAACTGCTGCGGAATTAACAGCGCTTTATAATTGGATAGTGCTAGTGTAGAGCTATCTTTCAAACACAAATTTTAAGCTATGGGAAATTATTACTTGGTAGTAATTATGAAAGACTATTATTAAAGTGCTCTTATGCCAGTAAATATACGACGTACTAGTCGTCAAGAAGTTCCGTTCCTAACACATCAAAACAAAAGAGAAGGTACTAGAATTGAAACTCATGACCCTGCAACGTATCAAGTCGTTTATTCTTAGAGTTCCAAGTCCACGTTAGCCAAGTCAACGAAATAAAACTTCCATCGAACTGCAATCAGTATCGAGAAGTAAAAAATAATTCAAATTTTTTGCATGTTCAATGCACAAAGTTTTTTCTGCATTATGATGATAAATGTAGCCTTTCGTGATTTTTTCATAGTCTACGGTTGCATGAATTATTTCCATGATAATCAGGCCTTGTGGCTAGGGTTGGCATAAGATCAATATACATGAAGAAAGCAAGAGAACTATTGTTCTCAATGTTTGCCTTATTTCTAAACTATCGGAATAATTCTTAAAAAAATATTTAACATTCAAATCTATTACAGATTTCATTGTACGAATGAAGGTTGGCAAAATTAAAGATTACATTAAAGATAAAAAAATATCTTTCGAAACTAATAACTAACTAATACCAAAAAAATGTTTTTCAGAATCCAACAGTTTCGGATACGGGTACCATGACATCCCTGGTTTAATATATTAAATTATTATACTCGTTCAGAGAAAGATTATGATATTACTTTAACAAAACAATATTATGTATTTTAAAAAACATACACCTCATATACCTAGTGTCCACCTTTTTCAAAATCGACAAAAAGGAAAGTGTAATGGTTCCTCATTATATCGTATTCCCCATTATAATATGTATATCGCATATTTTCCTTTTTTTTATTTATTGCATATCAGAGAACCCTTTTTACTAATATACAACTTATTATACCAATGAGAAAGAAAAAAGAAAATAAGTTTGTCGTTAATATTTAGAAATTAATTATACATACGATTCAACCAACAACCCTATTATATCGAAGCGGGGCTAGGTTGCTGACGTTGCCAAATTGATTATTAGCTTCCAAGCAACGTAACTACGATTATTTGTCCGTAAATTGATGTCATAAAAGAATGTCGTTAAATTTTCCAACTCGCTATTTATTTAGTAATACAAAATATACATTACACGTTTAGGTATTCATGGGTAATAAAATGAATTGAAAACATTAAGTATAAGTGAGCTTCAAAGAAAGCTAGTCATCCATTAAACATTGTTTAAACAAGTGATTGTAATTGCATCATGGTTTGATCAATCAATAATTTCTGATATACTTACAGACTTTGCAGTCCAATTTTTTTTCAGCGAAGATTATCCGTAAAACATATAAATAAATGATTTAATAATAACAATCTGTCTTTTTTAATAATCTACAACATTAATTGAACAAAATTGATTCACTCCCAATTTTCTAAATGCAGTCATTATTTATGTAGTGGTACTGCTTTTCACGTTTAAGTCTCAAACCGTCACAGATGACCCATGAGATACAAACTGTCCAATTCTATAGGTTTGCGTGAATATTTAACAGTAAAAAAATAATTTTTCATCACAAAAAAATAATAACTATCCCAAGACGTTAAATTATTAAGAGATTACATATCGGGTCTTGGCATATATCACGTAAATATCTCTTTTATTATTTACTAGCTGATCCGGCAAACGTTGTTTTGTGGAATTTCGTAAAATCCGCTGAAAGTTAGCTGACCTCTACTCAGCGAAAGGAATATCCCGAACAAATTTCAAGTCTCTACGCCTTATGGTTCCAGACATATCCTGATGAGTCAATTGTCGGTGGAAATCTCTTATATATGTGCTTATAGAATTATTGCGAGAAAATAGTATTTCGGACTGAATTTGAATAAATATTCTTTTATACATCGAAGTAACGATTAAAGTTTTTTTTTTTGTTGACTTTTCACAGTAATTCGAGTCGAAATTTACCGAGCTTTTCATAGTTTACTAATTGTACGGAACCCTAGCTGCGTGAGTACGACTCGCACAAAGCTAGTTTTTTTTTTAAATTAGATTAGGCGTCAAATGTTAACCATTCATCAAATTAATTAAAAAAAAATTATTTATATTATTGATTATATATATATATATATATATATATATATATATATATATATATATATATATATATATATATATATATATATATATTATGATACCTTAAAAAATCCATTGATTTTTATTTATATCAAAAGAAATGCATGGGATAAAAGTTTCTTCTTCCGCCCCTGATCCCGTTATTTGGGGTCGTCCTCCTCACTTTCCTGCGTCGAGACCAACGGTCTTGGGTTGTCGCTTTAGACATGACTGACTTCATGACCTGGTTGCCGAGTATTGCAGGAGACCTTAAGAAAGCCCAATTGCCTGAAGCATGGGTTTTAAAAGTCCTTTCAGAAATATGAGAGGCATGAGATGATATAAATAACTTACATTGAGAGGCACACACAAATGTTTGACATTTGCGGCGTGTAAAGTGATGATAGAGACGAACAATGTTATACTGATGTCCTATTTACCGGCCTATTATGTAGATAGTAACGTTCTCAACCAGATATATTTATAGCTCACTTTACGTAAGCAGTTTCGCTGATTGCCCGATCGGCGGTTCGACCTTACGTCGTTCTTGCGAAACCAGAGATCCGCGATAAGCGGGGACAGAGTAATTGTGTTCCCTCACGGAAGCCATTCGTATCCGGGCGCGTCGTTAAAATTATCAGATCATAAGCATAGCTCGCAGCGGTTATAACGATTTATTGCGAACGTGCCACATGTTTAGCGAGTGGAGCGAAAGAAACCGTAAGATACCGGTGCGGCAAAAACCGCAAATTGTATCAAAGACATTAATGTCCGTTGACAAGATAGTTAAATGATGGTTAAATAAAACTATTTCACGGATTCCACCGAATTTTATTTTGATTTTAATTTCCCGACCGACCGAATCAATCAAATTTATCTAATTTCAAATAAGATTTACGGTAATGTATTTCAATGCTAGAAGGGGTAGAATATAATAGGAGACGATAATGTCTGGGGTTTAGTAGCTAAGCCATTGTTTTTGGTGCAGAGGGTCGTGAGCTCGATTATGCACATGGGACCAGTATTTGTGTGATACCCAGAAAATTGTTCTGAACCCGGCAAGTACTTCGTGTGAAATTTGTGTGCACAAAACGTCATTGAACACTGGATAATGTTATTCTACAGTTTATTTAAAAATCGAACGTTCAAAGTTGTAAATACATTTATATCATCATCATCATCATCATTATTTCAGCCTGTTAAAGTAGAGTTAGAGGCAGTACCTCTAGTCTGAAAATAGGCCTCCCCCACAGACTACCCCGAAGCACGATACTGAGCCACTTGCATCCATCGACTCCCGCCCGTTTCCACAGGTCGTCACTCCATCTAGTGGTGGAGTTACATTGCAATGGCTAGTTCGAGCTGACACTCGACAACCTTTCTTCTCCATCGGTTATCAGTTATACGCACTATATGGCCGGCCCATCGCCATTTCATATGTATATATAAATAATAAAAAATAAAAAAGTTATCTTACAAATTGTACGCACAATGAATTGATTCATATGGAAGCTGTTCAATATTTATAAATACAAAATATTTATCTACAACCATATACTTTGCGTAACCACTACACTCCATATAAAAGAAAAATAAATAGAGACATGCATGTTTAATGCAAAAGCTATTACGATTACGATGTTTGTCAATATATGCACATATTTTTAGTACATTTATTGGTTTTTACAGGTATAAATATAGTGTCAAATATTCCTTAGGGTTCGTTAAACGTTAAGTAATGGCAAAGTCTTTTTACGTATGTTGAATTCATAAAATGTCAATCAATTATTTATGTCGGACTTTTGCGTAAAAAATGGTTTAAGCTCTGAAACTTAGTTTTAAAATGAACAACGATTTTATTTCAAAAATAGAAAAGAATTCCACTATACAAATATCGTATGGATTTTCACAGAATTAATTTTGTCTTTAATTCATTCACTTTCGGACAAATGCTTATCTCACTATCCCGTTCCATACGGGTACATCCCCAGATTTTCTCTCGATGTTTTTCCTTACCGTACGTATAACGAAGCTTAACTGAAGTTCAAAATTTCAATGGATTTACGCATAGTTTACTCAAAGATAATGATTAAAAATCAAGTGCCCAGACACCAATCTACAATGGTTCTTCATTATTTTATTTTCTTCTTGAAATGTGTGTTAATGATACACGCGCAGATTATCGGCCTTTCTCAGCATCTGTTCACACCGGATCAAATCCGTTTGCAGCAAAAATGTTTTCATATGAAATAATGGTAAGTTAGATCGAAAAGATTTTATTATTTAATATTTATACCAACATAAAAGCTATTTGTTATAGGAACGGATAAACGGTAAACGGTAAAAATGGGGCGCGGGAAAGAACCTGAACCGCCGTGCAGCAATCCAGTGGAGGCAAAGAAGCACCGAGATGAGGCAGCGGGGCACTCTAAGAACGGAAACTACGAACGGGCCTTAACCTCCCTGGCCAAGGTAAATTTGGAAACGTACAAATGCATTAAGTTCATCATCATTATCATCAGCCGCAAGACGTCCACTGTTGAACATAGGCCTCCCCCTTAGAGCGCCACAACGAACGACACTTTGCCATTTGCATCCACCGGTTGCCCGCGACTTCGGTCCACGTAGAGGGAGGCCGGAGTCACCGACCTAGCTCTCCGAATTTGCAAGCTAGTGGCAGTGGGCAGGCCACATCACTCGAAGAACTTATGGACGACGGGGAGTAAAGGTTCTCGAGTGGCGACCACGGACGCATTAAGCTACATTTAAGATTTTGGTTTGCAACCATTTAAGATCCTTACGCATGTTCATTTTATCAAGGAGATTTTATCTCCTGTACGTATCTGAGAGGCGTCAGAGATCTATTTTCTATCACCGTTAATTCGGTACGGCTTGATTGATCATCCACCGAATGGCTTTCTTGCAAGTTGACTTGTTGATACCGTTCTCTTGGTCCTCTATATCTTCTTGGTCTTTTCTTATACTTATTTACCTTAGCCATTTTAATTAGGTCTATTAATATTCTTGCCGGTCTTACGAAATCGCTGTAATTCTCTTTGGACCGTTGATAAAGTTGCGCCTACTGTAAGAGCAGTACTTCGCTGACTTCTTCCTCCTTGTATCATATTAACAATCCAAAAAACAAATGAAGCCTATTCCTAGATTTATAATAAATAATACTAATCTACCTATAGAGTAATATTTATGTCTATCTGAACAACTTTGGGAGATATCACGATTTTTCTATGCGATTTTCTTTGTTAATAATGCTAATCGCATAGAAATGCCCATTTTATGTTAATGGTCGGATTTAAAAAAAAATGTTTGTGTTTTAACTTATAAAATTAACATATAATGACAAATCGAACTCAAAACAATATGTCAATCCAGTTGCGAGTCAATTTAGGATTATTGTAGAAAAAGGCTTTATAAATATACCTACACGTTGAAACCAACGCACCACGCGATCTTTAATGGATCGCTACATTCTTCTAGGGAGCAATTAAGGAATTATAGTAATAAAAATCGAAAGGAATTGATCAGTATTTGTAATATCTACTTCGTAGTATACAACTTAAATTATAAGTATTAAATGGCTACGAATTCAGCCACCCCCTTATTATCATTTCTGCGTCCTCACCATGCGAGCATACGTGAGCACTAACGTCACCGCGAGGGCGCGAAAACACACCGCGTCGCCATGACGACCACAGTTCGGGCGTCGATAAGCGACACTTGCGACACCGAGGGCAGTTACGTAACAACACTTCACCGCCTCGTGTGGAGCCCGATATGGACAACGGTGACACCGCGGAGGCCCAAATCCGGTCCATCCTCGGCCCCACCAAGGACGCTGAGTTCCTCCAGAGCTTCGTTCGCGTGGGCGTCGGCGATGACGAGGACGAGCCCGCCCCGAAGGCGTCGATCAGCAAGCGGGCGCCGGCCCCCGCGGAGAAGGTCGACAGCGCTGACGAAGACAAGCAGCCCAGAGAGAGGAGGGAGTCGGCGAGGCCGAAGAGGCACAGCTACCGCCGCCAGCCGAAGCGCGAGAGGAGACGGCGCGAAGAAGAGCTGTACACGGACAAAGACAGGGCGGCCGCCGTGGTCATGGGCTACAAGGACATCAAGCTGTCCCTCAACATGAAGGACAAAGCGGAGAGGAGCAGCGCTCTTCATCTGCCGGCTGAGGCGGACGCGAACGCCCTCCTAGCGCTGGCGAGGGCCGAGTTGACGAGGGAACGGTACCGCACCGCACTTTCGTTCGTCGATAAGGTATCTGTTCACCCGCAGCCCAGTGCCATAGAATTCATCAATTCTATACTCATTTCTTGCGAGAGTAATGGTGGCCATCCATCGGTTCTATCTGATGGTAATTGAATTTCTGAATCAAGAAACTGCTGCGTTTCCGTTAAAAGTTGTTCTGATATTTTAAATAGTGATTTAATGACTATTAAGTGTAATTTACCAAAAACGGCCATTAAAATATTGTCACGGTTAAAAAGAATATGATACATATGTATTTTATATATTGTATTATCGGACTTCCGCTATGTAATGCTTCACGATTTGTATACAAAAACCGTTGGAAGTAAATTTATGTTAGTGGTGTTAGCTGCATTTTTGTCGCTTTGGATACTTTAGATACTCGCGATTGGTAATTTTTTAGTACTCACGATTGGTAGTTTATTTTGTATCGACACTGTTTTCTGAAATAAGAACTTAAGCTAAGTTTAAAACTAAAGCGTGAAAGAATGGCGGCGCACCAATTAAAATATTTAAGTTATTATTACTTTTTAAAATTATTATTAATTTTTAAGTTATTACTTTTCTTCCCTACTATTGAGTAACGCATTTTCTTACCTTTTAAAAATGCCTATACTCCCAAACATTTATTACCCCCGCCCCCTTAAAGTTCGAATTTCTAAACCAAAAGTCATTTACTCACTAAAGAGTAGACGATGTTTACCGACATTTCATCTCAAAGGTTACCTTTTTCCAGGCTATAGAACTTGCTCCAGAGGAGAAGGCGGCGTACGTTGCGCGCAGCAAATGCTACCTGCTGCTAGGCGAACCGCAGGCGGCCTTGGCCGACGCAGAAACAGCGCTCAAACTGGACCCCAAACACGCGAGGGCCCTGCTGCAGAAAGCCGAGGCGTTATACTACTGCGGCGAGTTCGAAATGAGTCTAGTGCATTATCACCGCGGCTTAAGGTCCCGGCCCGACTTGAGTGACTTCAGGCTCGGTGTTCAAAAGGCTCAGGTATTTCTAAGCATTGGCATAACATGTAATTATAACAGGGATGTACGGTTGAAAAATCTCGCCATGTGATTCACCACACGCATTTACTACCAATGTTCATTTCGCCTTCATTAACTTTGGTCGTGCTATACTTAATTAAATACAATTTAATTGGCTAGTGCAGTGTTGCGCAACAGATCGGCAATTGTTAATGCGTGGCGTCATTGGTGTTGAGATTTGAGAAAAATTTAATCGATAGCCTAATTTAACCTAGTTTTACATTTTGTTAAAGAAATTTAGAATCATTTTAGAACTTTAGAATAATTTTAGAACAAATTTAGAATTTAGAATCATTCTCAAGACATTTTGTCAAGCGTCTCTGTTTATGATGACTCGGGAACATTTTGCCTGTTAGCACAGCGGGTAACAAAGTTGCAAAATCTCTCCTTTTTCTGCAGGAAGCAATCGAAAACACCATCGGAGCTGCTAAAGCCACAAAGAAGACAAATAAACGCAAAAGCGAAAAACCGTCGAGACCAGTATTAGGACAGTTAATGTCCGATAAAATATACCTTGAGAATCTGCTCAAGAATCCGGATCTCGCTATCGCCGATAAGAAGAACGATGTTGTAATGAAACAGGCTGGAGAGGCAATAAGGTTTTTGGAAAACAGAGAAGAATTCTGGCGTCAGCAACAGACCGCAAAGAAAAAGTGAACTTTTACTATTTCCATCACAGTATGATTTGTGTATAATCCTTGTAATTACATTCAATTGTTGTCACTGGTATCAACAGCTTTAAATTTTATTAGACAGCTTTACTATTGTTATAAATATCTAATACTTAGAACATGTTTTAATCATTTCTATTCTGTTGCAAATTTACGGTAGTATATTAGTACCTACAATTGTTACTCCTATGTCGCATGATTATTGAATTTAATTTTTACTTAGGTGTTATCTAGTGTTTTATCTTAATAAAATTTTGTTCATCATGTTTGACTGTTATTTATTGTATGCCTGTGTATTGTGGGTTTACAAAAACTATTATAATAGTCTCCTGTGTGATTAAGACAAAACAGCTAAAGTCGTTATTTATTGACGGGCACATGTTGATTCCATCTAACATAAAATAAATCAATGAAAAGCCTTAGCGCCCTTGAAACTGATTTAATACGAAAGAAATTAAAAAACAGAATAGGAAGGAAAATGATGAAGTAAAATTAACAAGTATACAATGAAAATCACAAAGCTTGTAACAAAATGTAATAACTGATGTTAGATGCAATGATGATGAACAATATTTTAAGAAATAATTAAGCAAAATACAGTATAGCTATCTCGGCTTAAAATTTTCAACTTTATATTTCAGTTTTAACCCTGTTGGAAATGTCCATGGGCGCCGACGTCACATTATATAATATTATTAACGAAGAACTTGCTAACTAGGAATCCAACATAACCTTGGGCCTCGCCCTCCTAGTAGTAGAACAAATTGCCTGCAGTTAGTAGAACAAGTTGACTTCAGATTACCCCAAGTTATGCAGTGCAACTAACTCAGTTCTTCATCTATGGTCAATGATCTTGGGGTCCATCCTCAGCGTGCGCGTTGTAGGATCAGTGACAGCCCAAGCGGTCGGTTAACCATTTTAACGTTCTCCCGAGTCGTCTGACGGGAGAGCCCACACGGAGATTCTTAGCCCTAGGCTCCAGTGCTCGACAAACAAGTTAACCAAACAGTTCATCGAAAGAGCCGAAAATAATTACACCCTCTGAGCTCTGATTACAAACGCGTACGTACAGTCACCGACCATCGTCGGTACGGTCCGTACCGAACCTCGATGGGCCGTATGTGACATTCCTATCTATAGACTCCCTACCCAACGCGGAGGGCTGTATCAAGCTCGTGGGTTCTGGGTTCTGCCCTAGCTCCACTACTAGCCCATGAGTTCCGAGTTTTTTTAATAGAAAAGTTGTCAAGCGAGTAGGCGGTTCAACTGACGTTAAGTGAACACCGCCTCCCATGTACATATACAACACCCGAGGGCTTTTAAATGCGTAGTCAAAGTTTAATAAGTGGGGCCCACTCCTCAGACGAAACGCGAAAGTTTAATACTTCCATTTCACGCTCTTCTTCTGTGAGGCCGTGGCACTTCTCCGACTATTTCTTCTAATATGAATAATCTCTTGATATGCAGTTTTTAAATAAAAAATGTTTTCGTGATCTAACCGTCTGTTTTGAACTGTGTCACGGGGAAAAGCGGTAACTAACATGCCAATTACACATCACATTATTTTCTACTCGACTTTGAAGGCCATGTTTAACGGTGGAGATAATTTGTAAAGCGAATAGGTACATCACAATATATGAAAACCATTAGTGGCACAGGAAATTGTCCCGTCGAGTAGCACATATAAATATACTTCACAGACTAGTTTATTCACAAATATTTGAGCTACACAAAAGATGGGTATCTGTCGTGTTGTTGCTTTCGCAGCAGCGTTTGCGGTGGTGGTAAGTTTTTTAGGTGATGCAATGATATTTTATAAAAATTATTTACATTTTATATAAATAATTATTATTTATATAAAATATTATTTAACTATTCCTATTTACGATTTACGACAGACTTCACTAAAATTAACATTTAAAGTAAAAATTTATCATGCAGGTGTTAGCAGAGTCGTCCGAAGAGGGTATGGCGTGCGAAGCGTTATTCAATGATACAGTACGTACTTCTCATATAATAGAAATAGCTTGTGTTTTATCAAGTTAGCAGCGAGCCAAGAGCTACGTATGTATTTATAAATTAATATATGAACGAAAGATGTTGAACCCGCGCTTTGGTAACAAATTTCGCACCAAATTATTACTTGAACCTTTCTAGATGTTATGCTTTCGCATTGAGTTTATCAACGAAAACTTTTCGTAAAGTAAACAATGAGTTATGAAATTAAATTACTGTACAGACGTTTTACAAGAATCCATATAAATGTTTTCCGACTTGATAAAAGAAGCAAGCTATGTAAATACTACTTCAAACGGTCATGTCATTTAAGAACTAACAGACCCACTGAAGATTTTATATAAAGATTGCTCATAAAATTTAAATGTTTAAAAAATCTTCTAAGTCTGGAGTACACTTTAAGCTATTTTCAGCTCAATGATTGCTGCGACAGTAAGTTCCTGTTCGACGACAGTTCAGAGTCTACAAAGTGCAAAAACTCTAAAGATGAAGAAGAGTTGTCGGTATGTACCTAATGCAAAATTATCTTTGGATATTTGATATCCATTGTTATTTTAAGACTATGTAAAACTACGAATGGAATCAATTACGTGACTTAAGTACAATTTTCAAATGAAATTGTGCGTGAAGCACGCAAACATACATATGTTTTACCTAGCCTGCGAATACGTTAGCATTTGTACGAGTCCAGTAACTTAAAACAGATATCGTATCAATCATCTAATGAATGTAAATCTACTTTTAAATCAAAGTAAAGGTAAAATAATTCATAATTGTCAATGATATAAATACTAAGGAATATGTAGGTTCTCAGTACGTTATTTTTTTAAGTATTATTTTCTGTAGGAGCACATCATTTTCTTTTTTATGAGTCACTAGCTAAACCTAGATGGTATTATCTATTGCTCTCTGTTATAGAACAGGAAAATAAAGTATTCTAACGTAAGTAAATATACATTCAATATTAATTTATTTATCAATATATTAATATCAATTCAACATCATCTTACCCAGAGAAAGAAAAAGATTCGTTATATAAATTGGATGATGAAATAAATTTCACCCGTAAAATTTATATAATTATTATAAAATTTATTTTTATTTTATGATTCAAAATAATTCTTACAAAGGCAAGAGACGGGTTCTATTCAGTTTGCAAGCAATTATTTATTCATTATTATATTTTTTTTAAATCAAAGGTTTTATATATTTTATATGTACCAAAAGTCAGCATTTCTGTTATTTATTAATTTATATCCCTCGATAAGTCGTGTTCTCGAATTTTGAGGCAAATATTATTCCCTTTGAAATATTGATTTTAGTGCGACGACTACAAATGCCTTTTGGAAGAGGACGATCTGTTAGTTGGCGAAAAAATCAGCGAAGGCAACGTGAACAAAATGCTCGACAAGTGGGAAAACGAGTACCCGAAGGAGAAGCCGATGATAGACAGGGCGCGAAGCGAATGTTTAGGCGGGAAATATCTGGAGTACATCAACGAAGAAAATTGCGTCCCACTAAAATTCTACACTTGCTTGTATATAAACTCCATCATAGTGAGTTTTCTTTTCTTTTTTTAAAAGAAACTTACTGTAGAATAACATTATCCTGCGTTGTAAAGACGTTTTACAAGCATTTATTTCACGTGGACAAACACCCAGATCCGAAACAATTATCCGTGGGTCACACAAATAGTTTTCCGGTATGGGAATCGAACCCACGACCCCCGACGCGCAAAGCCAATACCTACGCAACAAAAATATCTCTCAAGTGTCTAATATTAAAATCTTTCAAGCCCAATATTTTTAATCTTCAAGTCTCTAATATTGTCTTTGAAGTCTTGTAATATTTCTCGCTAGTTTACATGTTCGGCGTGTTAGTAGCGTAGTGGCGTGTACAAATGAGTCTTCCAAACAGTGGTATGGCTACGAGTCTGTCTGTTGCGCGAATTTGGAGGTCCGTCTGGGGAAGTACCAGGACATCATAAAAATTGGCGAGGTGGAAGCGTTATACTGCTGCGTTTCGTTTTGCGAAGTAACCGGAGCCGACTTTATTAAAAGTTGGGAACGTATATGCAAGTGTCCATGGCTGGCGGTTATCACTTAACATCAAATAATCGCCAGCTCACTTGCCAACTTTTCACATAAATATTTTTTTACTAACGAAAAACAAAACCGACTTCAAATATCTCGCTCTGTATTCATTTTATAATTGATTTTCAGGAGTTCCCCGAGTATCTAATAGCAATAAATTTAATAATTAATATGGGACCACATGGGAAGCCCCAGCTTTCAAATAAAAAAAGAATCATCAAAATCGGTTAATTCGGTCAAAAGTTATGAGGTAACAAACATAAAAAAAAATACAGTCGAATTGAGAACCTCCCTTAGAAGTCGGTATCTCACCATGTAGCTTAACAATAACCTAATATTTCAGGAGTGCCAAACATGGAAAACCGATGTCCAATGCAGGAAAATGAAGGAATACGCCTTAATGTGCAAAACACTACAAGACAGCAAATAACTATTTCGTATCAATTAAACGGTGCTATGTGCTAAAAATAAAACGACAACCTATTAAAAGAAAATAACATTTTATTTGTTCCGAGGGCTCTGTTCGCCGCAAACACCTCACAATAGTTATTGTTTCGTCGCCAAAATGCGATGACACAGAAGTCACATTCCACAAATTGAAATAATAGCAACTCTCCAACATAATTACAAACACGATTGTCGGGACTGCACACTTTTGTATTTACAATATTTACAAATGCCAGCATCCAAACGACGCGCGTCCATTGCACTAAATTGTTCGTGATATCCCACTCATTTTTGTCAGACACTAACGTCATACTAAATTTACAGAAGCGCATCTTAGTTATTTAATACCTACCATAATAGGCACAGTGATATAAGCATTTAAAAAGAATTATATTACAAAAGGTTAGGTCGAGGCGTAAACCTTTGAAGTTAATAGGAAATTTGTTTATGTGGACAGAATAACAGTACAGCACTGTTTATCTTAACCAGCATCTTCCTTACAAGGCAAACTTTGATTCTAACTAAAATATTCTTTTTTTTTAAATATGTACATCTTAGCATTTACACGACATTATTATTGATGTAATACGCGAAAAACTTTGTTGACGCTCCGACGTTCATACAAATCTCATAGTGAACACAACACACAAGAGAAGATATTGGCTTCTCCATCGCACCACACTCCATCTCTCTCTAACGATATGTTGGTGTGCGGTCGCGAACAGCGTTGACAATCGGATTTGTGAACAAACATTGAACACATGAGGTAGATTTTCGACCTCGACAGTACATGAAACCGGAGTCAACTTCACGCTGGTGCATTTAGGATTAGCGCGTCTAATACAAAAGTTAGCATTTGGACAATTTTCAAATAACAATATATAAGTAGCGTAATTTTAATGTATGCGCTCAATACGACAGAATAGAGCTGAGTGAGGCAGCTTTCAGACATAATTACACTTCAAGGTGAAGTTCAATTGAATGGAAAAACTATAAATTACATTGCGTTCTCTACGTTTCGGAACTATGCAATACATTTAAGTATCATATAATTATGATGGAATTTCTATAATTGACAATGTACTTGGGGATCCCAAACTGAAATCAAATATTAGAATAAAAGTAAATTTTGTTTGCTAAATATACTAATGATGATTGTTTGATAAAATATGAAACATCCTTTATACAACTGACAAACTGCAGAATAAAGCAATATCTAAAATGTTATTTCTTCATGAACAACACATCACATTGAGCAGATTTATATTTTCCATGTTTCCTAGGTTAAGGTTAGCTTACTAACAAAGTTACGTCATATTAACTTAAAACTCACTTTATATAAATTACCAAAATTTCGAATTGGAGAAAATCGTTAAAAAAAAGTTCAATCAGCATTTGCAATGAATACATTCAAATAATTAAATATAAAACAATGGTAATGTTTACAATATATTACGTAAATCCTTGAATCTGTTAAATTAAAAAAGTGTCTTTTTATCTATAACATAATAACAGATAAAATAGATATAATTTTCTGTCATTATAAAACCTAAATAAAGAATGGTTTGCTAGCACCGCAAGCCACTGCAAGTTTTGAAAAGCAAAAAGTATTCGTCGAAATGCATTGTAGTATTAAGAAAAAATATGCAAACATATTATTCCTTGCAATTATCCAAGCACCTATAATACTGTACTTTTAAAATCAGTGCCTAGTTAAACTTACTATGTTCACGTCATATTCGAGTAAAACATGTTCTGTTAAGAAAAATATATTCCCTTCATTAAATTCAATGCGAGTCAAGGAGATCATGTAAACAATAAATACAATCATTTGCATTACTCGCTCGAAATAATATTAACTTCAATTTTTTTTATTAACATCAATATTAACTTCAAACTTATGAAAGTATTTAAAAATATAGTTTAATTACACATTTATCCTATATGAGGAGTGACTTTATATAACTAGTACTTAGTTACTATATTTACAAATTCGAATAGGGTTTCCTGATCAAAAAAAAGTATATTTGCTTTAATGTAATAAATCATATAACTAAAATATACTTAATTATGAAGATTATGCTCTAATGCATGTTCCTACATACATGTTTAAAAGTTATTATTCTGAAAAATTATGTGAACTTATCAAAATTGTTATAATTATTTTAAATGTGCAACAGTACTCATTAAATCCATTGCATAAAGTGATAAAAATAAGAAATATAATGCATTTCCTACTTAAATAAATTTTGAACACATTTCTCTCCTTTCACAAACTTGTGCCTCGTCCCAATTCATGGATGACAGTTTTCGACTGTAGTTCAGAATATCTGAAATCATAGTATGCATATTTGAAAATTTTGCTCTATCAAACATCCCCATAAAATTTCTGCCAGTAACAAACACTTAGGCCCTATTAGGAACAATCACGCCATATTTCAATGCACTTTTACTTCATAATTCCAGATTGTTATGTAAGTGTGCGATATTTTATTTTTAAATATGTTTGACAGTTTTTCTTTTGCATCCTCAATTTGTTAACAATATATACACAAAACACTGAGAGTCAATGTGATTTCTTTGTATACAACATATAAATATCAACAAAATGAATCATAAAATAACATGGTACTACAAGCCTTCATAAATCCATAGGGAAAAAAATAATTAACAAACGATTCAGGAAACAGAAACAACTCAGTTATTTCATGAAGGGTCAATCCATAATTGACCACAGTGAAAATGTAATACATATAAAATGAATTGGAACAAGTTCATCCAGCTAACATTAGTTGGCTCCATTATAACGTCTTCTAATGCACTTACACAGTCACTTATCACTATATAGTTTTTGTTTATAGTTCATAATGGATACGATTTATTACGGATGCATTTTCGCAACTTGCGCCGCTAGTCTGCCTCCTCGGGGGGCCGTTTGTACACCGGACCGAACTTGGCCATGTACTTCTTCACGAAAGTCTTGGCTTTAGTACGGACAGAGTCTGTGACAACAAGCTCTTCCACAGAACGGCAATGCTTCAGCTCTTTCAGCATCACAAAGTGTGTCAGCTGTGAATGGAATGTATAGTTAGGATGTTTATATATTTAATTAGATAATAAGTAAACAATAAATAAATACTTTTAAGTTGTTTAAGTTATGTTGTGAATCCTAATTTTGAATATAGTTTTATATTGATTTCTTGTTTTTACGCGAATATTATTCAGTGTTAAATAAAACTATTTTACTGATTTCATTTCGAAATTCCCGCATTCATGGTGACAAACCAGAGGATTGCTGGAAAGGGTTAACGTCGTCGAATCAATCAAGTTGAAACCAGGACAAGTTTATGATAGATTTGGAAAAGTAAAAAAAATAAAATAAATTAACAGCCCATACACGTCGCACTGCTGGTCAAAGCGCTCCTCCATCAGCACCACGCGACCCCACTGTAGACTTCGCATATTTTCGAAACATCTAAACATTTTTTTGTTTCTATCCCGCGAAGACGAGGTGAACGCAGAAAGTGAAAACGTCAGCCCACCTTCCTCGCGAGGTGTTTGAAGTCGGCCGTGCACGTGATCCGGCCCGCCGGCGCGTCCGAGTGCCGGTACGGGTTGAGGTGCTGCACCATGACGCGCGCCATCCCGCTGCGGAACTGCTCCTTGATCCTGCGCGCCGCCTCCTCCGAGTCGGCCGCAGGGCCGGACTCCTCGGCGTCCAGGTCCGGCGGCGAGGGCGCGGCGGCCGCGGCCGCCTTCTCGCCCGCCTCCTCAGAGTCCGCCTCCGAGTCCGTTTCGAACTCGTCCAGCTCCGGGATCTGTATGGGCCAGATTGTTTTTTTTTTTTTTTCACCCCTACTGTCCAGTTCCGGGATCTGTTTCGATTCGCCACCGGATTGTTTTTTTTTTTTTTTTTTTTTTCTCACCCCCACTACGGCTAACATCGGCACGTCGGTGAACCCAAACTGTCGACGTGTCGCAACTTTGGCGTTTCGAAACAAATATAAAAGTGAAGTATAGTAACGGCCTGTACATGTACCACCCACCTCTGTACAGGGGTCAGGAGAGGATAGGAAAGCTCGCGGCCCCACTGTGGATTGGCCGATTAAAATATAGGAACACCAGTAACTAACATTTTGATACTATTTGTTACAAATTGTTAAAGTGGAAACTTCCAAAACATATTTACTTTTTTACACATTTAATTTTTTCTCTACAAATAAATACTGAACTGTGAGTAGAAAGTTTGAGAAACACATTAGAAGTGATTCCCTAACATTGGTATTATTACTAATATTGTTCACTATAAAAAATTATGTGCTCTTGCTACTTGCAAACCAATAACCAATAGTATTAGAAAAAACAGCTAACTGGCATTAACCCATTGGCAGAAACGACTATCGGGATAATTTCAGTCTACACCACAACAACCACACAGCCATATTACCATTCCCTCGTGAGCCAGATCCAGATTTTTCGTCTTCTTATCTGTTTTGGCTTTCACGAGCTTCTCGTCATGATATGGAATGGTAATATAACTGTGCCCGGTCCATCAACACAATATCAGGTTTGTTGTTATGTGTATTATTATTATTATATTGACCTTGAGAGGATGGCGTCGCGGCCTGGCGGCTGCTAGGAGTCTGACCCGCTGCAGCAAACGCTCCCGCCTCCGCCTCAGCTTCTCCTTAGTCTGCTTGTACCGCTTCACCTCCATACGGCCCGCTAGTTTATCTTCCTCTGTCCGTGGCTGTTGTCAAAAAGTTAACTCAAATTAATGAACTCTTTGAAATGTTTATACCGCAGATATAGATGTCTTGTGTAACAATAATTAATATATCTTTATTTATTGTCTATTTATGAGCCTGGATAGCTCAATGTCTGTGCGCTCTCTATTAATTAATTACATTGAACGTAACAATAAATTAATTCATAGAATGGCACACACATATACCCTTTGAAGACTAAACTTTGTAATCAGAAGTATATTTTTGTTACTGTCCCATAAAAGGGAGAAGTTAGTTAGGATCTTAAAATAGTATTTATTTTCTATATTGCAACTTTCTATATTTAAACCATAAGTTTATTTACCTAATGATAAAAATACTAATATGTACTTGGCCTTCGCATTTTTATCATACTAAATGTTAATAAAAAAAACATCTTATGTTGGGTTTTTTTGGGAAATGCTCGTATAATATGGATATTAAAGCATAGTCCGTAACACTTTATCTTACAATAAATATATTTTATAACTATGAGTGATAATAAATGAATGCTTTAGTGGTTATTTATAATACAAACTAAACTTAATTTAAATCTTTCATTTTAATGAGAATCATGTATACAGGGTGGCTTTTCTAAGTGTATCCATATTTTTTTATTAAATTCTAGACATAAATAATGTTATACAAAAAAATGATAAATATTTAAAATAACTCTTCAGTAATTAATTACATTCATTTTGAACTTATCTCAAAAAGTGTGTGATTTATACGCAAGTCATTTATTTTACGCGCGATCATTCACTACCCCGCACACAAGTTCGTGCACAGTAAAATTTAGGTATTTATGAATGACTACCGCATTGTTAACACGTTCTGTTTTTTAGGGAATAGAATGGCATTTTTATTTTTTGGAAAAAAAAAAAACTTTTATTTCAATAAACGATTATACTACCGAGTCTGAACCTCCTGTGTAAATTTAGGCACTTCTCAAAAAATCTCCCTGTATGTAGCAGATAAACTTGTTAGTTTACACAATTGTTGGTTTTACCTTCGACATCAACTTACATATTAAATAACATCATTACAATCTTTATTGATCTAATATTTACAAGATTAAATGTATCTAAAATTACATTATTATCATATTATCATATTAAATATATTAAACTTACGCTAATTGGCCTCTCGGAAACCAATCCAGGCCGACGCTTTCTCGGCTTCAAAGAAAGCAGGGCGTGGTCAGGTATCAAGCCGTTATGCGTATCCGTCTTAATAACTGTAAATAAAAAAGGGGTTTAACATAAAATCACAGAAGATCATGGCTAATTAAAAAAAATTTAAATCTTTGGTGTGCACTAATCTTTAAACAATGTTATTTAACATAGGCTACAGATATTAAAAACATAATACATATCGCATCAATCGCATTGGCAAGAACGCAAAACTTACGTTCTTAAGGGTGCAGGCTAAAATCCCAATGACATAATAATTGAATTACCAGCAAACACAATACTTACTAGGGGATCAGTAGAATGACTATATTTTTCTTACATTATTTTCAAAACGCATAACATTCTATGCATAATACACATGTTTCAATTGTCATTACATTTATAGTTGCACAGTAACTCATAATGATTGGAATATGCGAGAGATTACGATTTCTGCCTAAAACTTTACCTTCATATATGCCGTTGACACCCTCCACTAGTTTCCCTTTCACCTGCCGCCTCACCACCGCAGTGTCGAGCGCGCTCATTGGCTCCATATCGTCCTCGGACGAACTCTCATCTGATAAAGTAAATCAGTTTACTACTTTTTCATTTTCGAAGTTACACTTCTTTTGGCGCGTTTGGAAAAATTATGAGGGAAAAACTTTTAAGATGCGCACGCACACCGATCCACAAAAAGCGACATGATGCTTGGTAACCAATATAATCTCCGCAACCAATAACGAGTTTTTGACATTCAACAATAATTCCAAGTTTTTAAAATAAACCGTAGTCAATTGAATTTAATGTATTTACGCTAAGGAAGTATAACTTCTTACGTGAACACATATTTTTTTTATAGAAAGAATTTTTTAGTGGACATAAATTTCTGATCAGCTCGTATGTGCGTTATGATCTAACGCAACACCTTCATATACAAGTGTTTTACTTTACAAAAATAACAGTAACATCGTATTTAAGTCATTGCAGAAAGAAGCCACAACCCTCGCGTAATATTTCGAAATATTTTATACACTTTTTTTTATAATTTCTTAGATATGTAGGTTTTTTCACTATGATTCCCACACCGCCAAGAAGGTAATCGTAACTTAAATTTGGAACTAAGTATTTCTCCGAGAACTCGGGTTGCTCGAGTACCAATACCAAACAGAAATTTCCAAAGCTCCAAGTAAAACAAGTAGATTTGCTTGTGTACCAACACCATATTAATTTTCGAACGATAAATTAGTTAATTAAAAACAAGTGTGCTATTCTTACCCCGAGGCCAAAGTAACCTCGGGAGTACTGTTAATATGACGTAGCATGAAGCTTACCGATTACGATAAAAAACAAAACTTCAAAACTGTCCATGGATTCGAAGTCGAATTGCCGTCGAAAGTGCTGTTTATATGACTATGACTACCCATCAATAAGTTGTCTGTTGACAATAAAAAAAAACCTCCAAGCAGCGCTCGGATTCGAACGGGGGAGCGGGCACTCACCACCGGGCGAGAGGGGCGGCGGCGCCGGCGGGGTCCACTGGGGTCGGCGGAGCTTCACGTGGTAGTAGTAAGTGCGGCCGCGGGGGTCCTTCGCGCTGCGCCACATAGAGGGCAGCACCACCACCTTCTGCTCGCCCTCCTCGCTCGCCTGGAAAGTTTCAAATGCACATTAAAAACCTTACCAGCCTGCTTGTAAGAGAAATCATTGCATGGTAATCGGAGTTGAACACGTGTGCTGTCCGATTTGCTTGAAAATGTGTTTCAAGCAAATCGGACAGCTAGAAGTGGGTGAAATTGATGTTGAAAGATTTTCTTACATTGATAGATAGATAGTTATAGATAAAGCTACGAAAAGCGTGCTAAAAGGGGATAAATCGACATGGTGCAGTTCAATGGACAAAATGACGTACTGCACACAGTAAAAAAGAAACTGAAGTATGGACCAGAATAAAATAAATTATGCACTATTCGTTAAGTTTGTTTGAATTAATTGAACTGATCAAAAAAGAGATTGGAACAATACCTCATTCGGGGTGTCCGCAGTGGGCTGTGTGAGCGGCGCACTATGCGGTGGCTGTGTGAGCATCGTGGGCAAAGTGGGCATCGTTTGCGTAGTGGGCTGCGTGGGCTGCATGGCCTGCGTTGACGCAGGCAGGGCCCCGGCCGAAATTGGCTGCGGGTATGACGACAGTTGCTGCCCAAACATGAACCCGCCCATCCCGAAGCCCATCATACTGTTCACCATGACAAATTTAAAACACAATAAGAGATGAAAATAATCAATCACATACAAATATTACAAACACACTTATATTACAAGCAGAACATATTCAAAATTTTTACTCATTGTCTTTACATAGTATAAAACAAAGTCGTTCCCGTTGTTTGTACGCTTAGATCTTTTAAACTACATAACGGATTTTAATGCAGGTTTCTGCAATACATAGAGCGATTCAAGAAGGTTTTATATGCACATTGCACCCGAGCGAAACCGGGGCGGGTCGCTACTATAATATAAATTTGTCATCATCCTTCTGCCCATTTCCCACATAGGTTCGATTCGCACAACATGTGAATTTTTGTCAGTGGTAACTTCTAGTTTTTATGATCTCGGTGGCTTCCTTGTTATGACTATTTACAATAAAATTTTTGTTTTACACAGACACATCTGGAACAGTTATCAAGAGTTCACATAAATACTTGTACCACATAGAAATCGTATTCATGACTGGCATTGCCAAAACAAAAACATTGCCCAAAATATAATTTTTTTAGTAACAACATGAGGGAAATCGGCTTGAAGATAGATGCAACAGCGTTGGTTTCTTATGCTTCCTAGTAGAATATAGCAATTCTCGCTTACCCATCTCCAGACAGGAAAGTATCAAAACACTTTCTACCTGGAGATGGATTGGCGAGCAATGCCTTTGTTATGATAATGTAGGCAGGTTTACTTCAGGCAGGCACATACATCTTAGTACCTTTCTTACTGGCCAAAGTTTGCTTTACACAACCAAAAATTATCTATATATTTTTATGTTTAACCACCTAACAGAACTGTTCATGCAAAGTATTTTTATTCAAATAGAAGTGAAAACTTGTTTACATCAAGAATTTGACACAGCATTATGTAAGATAATAATATGATTATCAAACATTAAATTATAACTAAACAACTATGACGGATGTATAACAAAATGAAATAAGGCACTTACTTAGGCTGTGGCATACAAAACTGGGCTCCTGGGAAGGGTGGACAGAAGGCAGGTGGTCCTTGGTACTCCCCATTGGGACCCAGCCACTCGCTGGGTGCGTCTGAAGGTAGCATGCCCGGAACTAGACCCGGCATCATAGGCCCCAACATATTAGGCGGCCCACCCATCATGCCAGGTGGAAACATCTAAATTAAACAAAATTATGCTTAAAAAAATGTGTTGGTGGGTTGCAAGCATTGTTTATAACTCTAAAATTGACACATGGAAGCATGATTAGTGCACCAGATTTAGAGACCCTTCCATCCTTCCAGCACTTAATTTGTGGGTTAATAATAGACCCAGTGCAGGCTGGAAACACTTAAAGTACACATATTCTATGCTTTAAGTCATAACTAGATGGTTTTGACTTTAGGGAGCACCCGGAAACTTCGGAATTTTCACAGGTCTTTGACTGAAACCAAAATCCTCATCTGATAACGATTAAGAAGAATAAAGTAAATTTGTCACGTGGAGGTATTGTTCTAAGTAACCATTACTTATATGATATTCTAATATTTTGATGTATTCTTCTCCCTTTTTGTATGCAATAACATATATATCTATTTCATTGCTTGGCATCGGCCATTGAATGTTGAGTCTCATATGAAATTCAGTCTGGGAACCAGTTATTGAAGTTATGTCAAGGGAAATTGTAGCAGAAGGGTTAGAGTTAAGAGTTGATGACTCCATGGCGTAGTTGCCAAGGTATCGGCGTCGGCGCTGGGCGCCGTGGGTTGGATTCTCACACGTGATAAATATTTGTGTAACCCACAGATAAATGTTGCGGATCTGGGTATTGCAACTAACCTCTGTAACACAGGTATGGTTGACTTCAGTGAGGTAGTACGGTAGTGAGGGGCAATGTTTTCAAAGGGAAGACTACACAATAGCTCTTTCTGGGCTGCAGTGGTCGTTAGAACCTACCACCTGAATCCTAGGGATTTGTGTACCTGTGCGAAGCCCTCAGACTGTGGCCAATAGGGCCACGTAGGCTGTTCCCGCTGCCTTCGCGACTCGTCAGCAGCCGCGGCCGCCTCGGCGAATGCACGCCGACGTTCCTCTTTACTCATCGGGGGCACCGCAGCCAGCACGCGTTCGCTTAACCTGTCACATTCCCCTTATCAACTCTCTGCTTACAGTCATGTCAGTCGTACTATATATACAGGGAGGCTTTTTTAAGTGTATCCATTTTATTTTATTCAAGTCTAGACATAAATAATGATAAATATTTAAAATCGCTCGTAATTACATTCATTTGAACTTATCTCCAAAAGTGCCTGATTTATGGGCAACTCATTTATTTTACGCGAGATCATTCATAACTAACACGCACACAGTCATGTTCGTTTCAAAAGTATACGCCATATGTATACCCATTTATGAATGACTACCGCATTGTCAACAAGTTCTGTTTTCTAAGGAAAGGAATGGCAATTTTTTTTTTTGAAAAAAAAAGTTTGTTTTTATTTCAATAAACGATTATATTTATCTATATATAGATTACCGAGTCCGAACCTCCTGTGTGAATTTGGGCACCTTTAGAAAAGCCACCCTGTATTAGTATCAAGTAATACTGATAATTTATATATTCTTTTATTTTATTCGCAAGCTGTATGCTTACGCTTAAAATTTAAACCATCTTTTTTCATAAATTCAGTTCTTACTTTCTTCTTGTTTTGTTATGTACACCCTGTCAGTGTCTAATAAATATATCATGTAAAACAACATCATCATCATACAGTTGATAAATAATGGCAGCTTTTATATTAAAATGGAAATAAGCTTACATGCCAGATTAACTGTATGGTACTTTGTGCCTTAAAAATACAACAATTTTATTTAAAAATTAAGCTGAGGTTAATACTGCGGGAAAAAGCTATTACCTAATACTTCTCCTCCCATCGGGGCTCCCTCTTCTTTTTCTACGGTCTCTATCATCTCTGTCTCTCTCCCTATCACGGTCGCGTTCCCGATCTCTATATCTGTCCCTTTCCCGATCGCGGTCCCGTTCCCTCTCTCTGTCCCTTTCTTTCTCGCGCTCGCGTTCGCGTTCGCGCTCTCTCTCTCTCTCCCGCTCCCTCTCGCGGTGTTCCCTATCATCCCGTCTTTCTCGCTCGTCCCTGCGTTCGCGTTCACGCTCGCGGTCGCGCGAGCCACTGGAGTCAGCCGCTCGCCTTTCCACGTTCGCTTGTCGCTCGTGCTCCTTCATTTGTTGTATTCTCTCTTTCTTGGGGATTTTAAACACCTCCTGTAAGCAGTTTTTGAGAATTAATCATAAATAATTAAGTCATAAAAAGAATTAATCATAAAAGATAAAAAATTGGGGCATAATTTGAAATTTAATGTTAAAATGAAACGTTTATACATGGGCGATTATATTCATAATGTACCTTCAAACTGGACCATCTTTCCAACAGCTGACTCGAGAGGTCTCTAACCTTCTCCAGCATTGCTGCATTTTCTCTGTTCTTCTCTGCTGCTGCAACATTATCTTGACTTGTCGTATTAGGCAGTTCTACTGGTAACCCTGGATTAATTAAAAGAAATGTTTGAATCTATTGTTACTAAATTTGGACTTCAAATCTCTACTCCAGTACTCTATAGTCACATGTCACAATGATTATAGAATTTATAATAATGACAGTTACCAGTGGCCTCATCAATGAACACAGGTTCAGCTGGAGGGTCGACGGCATTTCGCCATCTCTCGACGATTGTGAAGAAGCGGCTCTCTTGCACCATCGTTTTGTTCGTGATTGGTAAACGGTCCACGGTCAGGAGCATTTCAAGTCTAAATGTAAAGATATACGTAAACAATGAATCCCAAATGTATACAAAAAAAAATATTCGATTTGACAGTATACGAAATTTAAAATTTAATACATTTCACAGTGACGCATTGGCATCGTGCCATGGTGAATTCTAATGATTCATCAAAGCAAAATAACAGTTTGTCAAGCAGGTAGGTGGAAAATGGACGATAACTCAGAACACAAACATGATAAATGAACTGGCAATTTTTTTTGAATTAATTTTTTTCTAAACGATTTGAGGAACCAGGAGCTGATTTCATTGGAGGTAGCATATCAAACCGTCAAAAACAATCGTTTACCATAGTATTTATAATACATACCATATTCCGGGAGAGAAGTATGTCGCACCAACCCAACTATGTAAATATAGCGCAAAAGTTCCTGGTGACCCAGATTTTATGTTTAGCAGCAGTCAGAGAACACTGATATGAACTTCGTCCCTTTTTGACCGGGACATCAGCGATAGTGATAAGGACGATTTTGTACAGCAGCTCACAGGCGTGCATACCAGGACATTACTACCAACTGCGGAAGGAGCGCTCGGAAGTGACCCACCGGAACTTCATGGAGGTAGCATACTAAGGCGCCAAATAAACAAACCAAGTCCCGGGAGGGAAGTCGGACCAACCCAAATATATGGCGGTCACTAATCTTATGCCAAAAACACATCATAGTAGGATATCGGACACTCTGTATACCAGGGCATCAGCGACGACATTGGAGCCCAGTGACAGTTCGAATTTAACGACCAGCATGAAGCATCAACTGCGACACCACTTTGAGGCAGTACCGGGACATGAGCACCCACCGCAGGAGTGGCGGGGTCACCGACCTGAACTCGGTGGAGGCCGCACACCAAGGCGCCAAATAAACAATCATATCTCGGGAGGTAAGTTTGTCCCACCAACCCAATTATGGCGCAACAGTTGAAGGTCCATTGATCTTATGCCACAAACACATGATACGATGTCAATCACTCTGTGTACCAGGGCATCGGCGACGACATCGAAGCCCAGTGACAGTTCGAGGTTAACGACCAGCATGATGCATCAACTGCGACACTGCGCTCACAGGCACTAGTGTACCAGGACATCGGCGCCAACTGCGGGAGTGACGGGGTCACCAACCTGAACTCGGTGGTGGTAGCATACTAACGCGCTAAATATACCATATCCCGGGTGGGAAGTTTGTCGTACCAACCCAACTATGACGCAGGTGGAAGTCACTGATCTTATGCCTAAGAACACTATTATGAACTCAGTCTCTCTGTATACCAGAGCATTAGCGACGACATTGGAGCCCAGTAACAATTTGAAGTTGGCGACACGGGCACGGGGGTACCAGGACATCAGCGTCCACCGCAGTAGTGGCGGGGTCACCGACCTGAACTCGGTGTTGGCGTCGGCGCACCAGGGCGCCAGCAGCCGCAGCCCGCGGTAGTCGAGGAACAGCCGGCGGCACGGCAGGTCGGCGTCGCGCAGCAGCCGCAGCAGCGCCGCCTGGGCGCGGCGGGTCTTCGCGCGCACCACCGTCCGCGACAGGCGCAGCGTGTGGCTCTGGTTCTTCACGCCCGTGCGGCTCAGCGCCTCGAGGTCCTCTTCGATCTGTCGGAACGGAACCCACACTGTACGGACACGTTTAACGTTCGTGTACATGTTGATCAGTGCACAGATCATTTTTTATTGTTTCAACTCCATCGGGGTTGACACTCGTAAATGGAATTGGATTCAAATAAATTCATGTTTGCGGCTGTTTGGTATCTTGGCTTGGATTGGCATATATGAATGCAATAAAAATAAATTACAATATTTGGCCCTATTAGGATTTTCCGTCGTTGCAGAAATTCTCTGATACATCTGTATGTAATGTCGCTGATCTATAAAATATAGTGCAAAGATTTAAGCATTAGGATGTAGTATATTTTTTTTACCATTTGGCATATTGAGTAAGGTCTCAATGTGGTAATTTATAACAATAGTATTATTGCGTTTTAGATTTATTTCAAAACCTAAAGTATTAGTTTGGATGACATAATTCAAACTCAATCTTACATCAGCATCCTGCACCAAATCTGGAGCCTTAGATTTGTATTTCCTTTCTCCCTTGGTCTTGCGCACTCGCGGCTGAGGACGCTCTGAAAGCATATCCGTTGAACGAGACTCTTCAGAAGATTCGGTTGTCCCAGATTTAGATGTAGTGACATCTTCATCCTCCTAAACAAAAAAAATAACAAAGTCATTAAAACTATTGAAAATCAATAAAATTAAAACTATAAGTAGGTACTATTATGTAAAACAAATGTTTCTTTGTAGCTAGCCCCAGGTTTAAAAAGCAGTTCTGAATGCTACTTTACTATTTGCTCAAGTATTGTATGATTATTATAAATGATTGGAATCATTAAGATTATTGAGTTTGATTATGATAGACTTCAATAGATCTCTAGATTGCAGTGGTCTTTGGGACTTACTACCTAATCATTGATTTGTGTAGAAGGGTTAGGGTGATGTTACCATAATAATATTGTTAAATAGAATATGCGACATCAATTTATTGCAAATGCCACAGGATCTTATTAAGCTATAAGTCCAAATTCATTTAAATTTAAGGCATGGTCTCTCCTCATGACTGAATAGATTTTAATGAAATGTGATCAGTGGATAAGGTATGAAGCTTATCCACTGGATTTATTTGTTGCATCATTATATAAGTAAATAGAAGAACAGTGTGATGATACCTCTTCATCTTCGTCATCGGAGTCGGGCTCGGCCCCTATCCATCCGCGACAGTTCTCCGCGCCGCAGTAGCACCGCTGCGCCACCTTGCTGCATGCAACAAACACATCTCTGTTACTTGAACCCCCACTTCACTCGCTGGAATTGTCAATCGCTATTATGATCGCGTGGCCTCAACGATTATATTATGGGTGTGAAATGTGGATGACTAGCAAAACATGATAATATTAATAAAAAGAATACATTACTTTAAAATAAGTGGGCCACCTCACCCACCAGAAGAAACGCAGAAGTGTAACACTTCAACTATACGCCTGTCTTCTGAGAGGTTGTGATACTTACCTGGAAGGACCTGCCCATTTGTCCAATAGTTATATGGATCTTATTTTTCACTTAAGTAACATGATAGCAGCATTAGTCATAATATGTCCCTCTCAATATATTAAATAATAAGCATTAATATTTTATATAAAAAAGTGATAAAAAGGAACTGTTGGCATGGGCTTCGATAATGTCTAGATTAGTGATTCTCAACCACTGTGCCGCGGCACTTTTGTGTGCCGCCAAATTTTGCAAATATATAATAATGTCAATATTATTAAATTATATCATTTAAAAAGAAATATATTTTTTGGCATTAGCCAACATTAAAACTAAAAAAAGATCAAGATTGTTAAATGTAGAAGACGATATGAGAGTAGCATTGTCATTTTTACGACCAAATATAAATGAAATTATCAAAAAACATCAAGCTCAAATTTCGCATTAAAAATATTTTTATTATGTAATTGTAATTAATCCCTTAATAAACGTTTAGTTATTATTGTAGTATATATTAGTTTATTTCGTATATTTAAAAATTTTGTCATAAACTATTCATGCAGTGTGTTGTAGTAAGTAAATAATTTTTATCTTTTTCTTTGTGTGCCGCCAAATTTTGAAATCGTTTAATATGTGCCGCAACAAAAAAAAGGTTGAGAATCACTGGTCTAGATAAAACAAAAAAGAGTACTCACCCAAAACGTCTGAATTGATAATCGAAGGTGATCTCTTCACCAGATGGAATGTCTCTTTTGCTGAAAAATCCTATTCTGAGTTCTCCATTGACCGTCCATTTCTGCGTTTCTGCATTGGGTTCACATGAATGATTTATGAACCGTGATATGTTGCCTTTCATTGTTGCATCAATTACTGTATCGCCCTTTAACGACATAAAGTAGTGGTGGAGGTTGTTGTCATCAGAATAAGTTTGAGCACGTTTATAAAATTGTTCATAGTCAAGGACTTCTCCAACATACTCCATGAGAAATTCTCCACTGCAAAGGAATAATTTAGTATTTTAATATTTAAGATTTGGATTCTAAATAATAAGTATTATGCAAAACTCGCAGCAGCTTTAAAATACTACAATTAATATTGTTCAACTATACCTACAATTTAATATAACTACAAAGTAAAAAAAAAAAAACTACTAAGTTTAATATAACTACAATTAATTATGTATAACCAATCAATAATGAAAAATTGGAGCCGCTATTAACAGGTCATGTTTTAGCATTTAACCTTTAACATACTCAATTAACTCGACAGAAAATGACTACTGCTTTACAATTTTAGACCTATCCCAAGAAATATACAATAAATTTCTATATTATAATAGGATTTTACTGTTTTTGTCGTATGTAAGATCGCCTATAAACCATTGGAACATTAATATACATTACAATATAAAACACCTAAATCATTTAAAGCTACAAATAGATACAAAACAATAATATTAATATTATATTAATATTATAGTTAAGTTTTTGTTTACATCTTTATGGCATTTAAGTAACATGCATTCGCAAGAGCTTATAAATCAGATAAATCTTAAGATATTTTTAATTTCAAAAACATGAAGCCATTGTTAAGCTAAGTAGAGAAACCTACTCCTACTATTTTATGAAAAGTTGGTACGAGACAAGTGGTTTAATTGTTAAGGCATTCCAGCAACCCATCTATATCAATATGGACATCATCAACATCACCTGTGAAGTTGCAAGTGCATTGCCACCTTTTAAAAACTGAGGTCCGTTATCACACCATTAGATGAAATGAAAAAGTATAATACTTCTACTTCATGCTGAACTTTCATACTTCCTAGAGAGGCTGATTGCTTTTGTTTTCACAGTCTTTTATAAAAATATTTTTTCTATAGAGGTGGAATAGAATGATAAAATGACTTACGCTGGAATATCAACACTGGCTTCAACCCCACAACCTTTTTTATCAGCATAGAAAACTTTCAGTGCTGCATTTTCCCTGTTCTGGAATCTTCTATTTGTGCAACGTTCACCAACAGGACAACGCGAGTTACTGAAAAATTTAATATAAAGTATAATTTTATATTTTAGAGGGATAAAAAATCTTGTAAATTTTCTATATTAAATCTTACCATTCAATCATAAGTAACCTGTTCAGACAATCCTCTCCACATGCTAGTTCTCCACGATCTAACTCTTCTTTGGTCATAAAACAATCACATATCATCTTTTTTGTGTCTCTACTAATCATGCGATCACACAAATAATCATTCTCATCTAAATGTTGGTACTGGTCCATTCTTTCTGCTATTATTTTATCATAAGCCTCTTTAGTTAGCTCTATTACAGAATTTTCTTCATCAGTAGGATTTTGTTCCTCTACTTGGGGTGGTAAACGCTGCGGTAGGCCTGGACTAGCCAGAGGTGAAATGGCTGGGGAATTAGCACCCATTTCCAACTCACTTGATCTCCGCCACCTGGATTTTACTTTGACAGGCATCTCTGAAGGAATTGGGAAATGTGACGAACTTGATGCTGTATTGGATGTTATTTCGCCAAGCTTGTCTTGGCTGTCTGATCCTAACTCTTCAAGTTTTAATTTTGTTTGAGTAATTAAAGCTTTCTTTAATGGTGTCTTAACTAAACCATATCCTTTTGTCTTCTGTTTTAGATTGCTTATCGTCTTAATACGATTAGATCTTCTAACTCCTGTTGGAGAGGATTCTGCTGAATCTGAGTTCTGGTGAATCTGAGAATCTGCTGAGTTATTTTGGGTATGTTCAGTGACACGTGAACAGTTGCTATCATCAGATAAAGTAGAACTTGGAGTTAAGCTGGGATCTGGCCTTGCCAGGTCATTAGAGTTGTCCTTTGAAAACATATCAGGTGTATTACAGTGAGGGGTTAGTGAATAATTCACACTCAAACAATCCATCGGCACCTGAGACTGTGATGCTAGATTCAGATTGGCAAAATGTGTCTGGAAATCCGAATCAAAAGTTTTGTTTTCCAATTCTTTACAATTACTCTGTTGCATATGAGAATCATTTTCTGGACTGTCTATTTTAATATTATAATAAAGCTCTTGATTATCATCTTCAACAATTTGAACTACTGTAATAACCTCATCCTCATCACATGCATATTCAATTTGATTGTCCAATGGAATGTTTTGAACATTTTGTCTATTGTCCAACTCCTCATTTTCACTTTCTAAATTATCCATTTGTTTATCTTTGACTGAGGGATCAACAGCAAGATCTTTTTCCCATATACTACTATCATTAGAACTTATATTTACCAAAGGGATCTCAAATGATTGTTTTTTTTCAGGTATTCCGAGTGAAGATTTATTGCCTTGATTAACACTTGCATTTGTCAAAACATTCATTGGACTGGGATATGCATCAGATTGCATATCAATTGCAGCATTTGAATCCGATTCTGAGCTGGCACAAGGGTCAACTACCTTGATTTCAATGCTACTATTCGTCTCACTATCACTGCCCATTTCTAGCTTTCTAGATCATATCATCATTGTTGAATAAACAACGATATTTACCAAATTTCTTATGTAAAGCGACTGCTGGAGTTAAAGTAATCAAGTCACTCTTTGATGTTTGGGTGTGTGAGGATTGCACATTAACTGTAACAGATTCATCAGTACTTATAGTGGATTTGGTATCTGAAGGTTTGTTGTCTGTTTGTGGCTCTAAAGTCGTTTCTACAGATGAGGAAGGTTCACCCTCCACTGGAAATGCCTCAGTATTCGCCTGTTTTCCGCGTCGTGAGGAGCGTCGGGCTGCGGGTTTGGTTGCTGGTTTTCTTTTCTTGGCCATTGCGAAGCGTAAAAACAAACAACCTATAAATATAATAAACGCATTAACACCAAATAGAGACAGTGTTTAATGACCTCCTTACATCTTTTATTTCATATTGTACCACATGGTAATTGTAACACTGGAATCAAAATTCACATAATTTTTGTCTTAAAGGAAATGTTAGTATTAGAATTAACGCCTGTGTAAATAATGTAAAGGATTTTCTGCAGACAGGAGCATTTGTACACCGTAACCACCGGTCAGAACTATCAACTTTAACCATGACAATAGAACACTGACAACATACCATTACTTATTTAACATGTATAAAGTATAAGTTTGATATGCGCCAAAATATAATACTACTATTATTTTAAAATGCTTTCACAAATAAATCAAATCAGTATCAAGCCACTTCATTTTTGACCAGTCCATTAATTTTTTTAGCATCCATCACTACCTCACTAGTGACGCCATCATGAAAATCGGTTTACAATAGTACCGAATAAAAAGAATCGGTCCTTCCCTTCGTCGCTATACTGCCACAGATTACTTGGAATCTTCTATCACGTTTGAAGCAGAAATCTACTCACCAAGCAAGTAAACATAGCTATCGAAATACTTTCATTTTTTTAATCGTTAAGTGTTTAATTAATGAAAATAACAAACTGATATAAGATCAAAGAACATATTTTAAGTTAGCGACATTCTAAATTCCAAATGTTTTTGTGCAAGCCTTTGTGACTTAATAATTCAATATTAAACCAGTGATGAAACTTCGTGTAGAATTTTTAGTCAAATCCGTTATTTTTTTACTTTATTATTTGAAGAATTTATAATTTTCCACACTATTAGATGACGGCTAATATTACAGATTTTAATTCATTCAGGGGATGACAGATTCAGATTGATAAAACCAACCCTCATTGATCAGCATTTAGGAAACACATAATAAAATACAAAGATACAATTGCCATCCATGTTCGAACTGCAGCAATGAAATCAAACATAGTTATTAAGGACCATATTATACAAAACAAAAAAAATATTGATAACATACACTAGTACCCGATCGGCTTTTCGACTTAAAAAAAAAACCTCCTTTATTCAGGTTATAATTATAAATATTCCTACAATAAAATTAATTATGCCAATTTTAATCAGTTTAATTATTATATTCGTAAACAGTTAAATTAAATTAGTACCTATTTTGTAAAGATAATACGATACATTTATAAAAAGTTACACTTTTTTTCCCGTCCACAAGAGAAGCGTCACTAGGGGTCACTAGCGTACAATGAGATGAATGTATCGATTTTTTCCCATTTTGTTGCGCGAAAGATAAATAATTTTTCTTGCATTTATGGCCTAAGCAATATATAATTAAACACTTTACTGTGAGAATGTAGTGATATTTTAAGGATAACAATATTATATACAGTGGTAGACTGAAATCTCGGATATATATTTAAATAGCCAATAATAGTCTCCTGCATATAGTAGCGTACGTAGCGTTTTGTCTTGGCTCAATATCGTCTGCAACAAACAAATAGCCATAAATATGTAATAATTTTTCTTTCCTTATTTTTTTGTAATGTCTCTATCAAACAAAAAATCTTTCAATAGGTACAATACTTTGTAGCTTAAGCATGTAGTTGATGTATTGAAAAAATAGGTGTGTACTCCATTTGTTAAATCATGCTTTCAGGCATTAAGCATCGTATCAACGTTCGATAATTAAGAGTAAAAAATTCAGTTAGAAATTATTATTTAATAATGCTTCAAAATGGCGAAATATCATTTTGCTTAGATTGACATGCGCATGAAGTTCACGTCAACAAAGTCCTAGATAGTAAATTACACAAATGACTTACTACACCGATGTTTTTATAATTTTCTTTTGTAGAAGTTTGTTATTCCGTAAATAAAACTCTCACTCGATTGTAACTCGATTCCGATTGTACCACAGATGTTTAGTATGGTGGTTGAAAATATATCATAGTTTATAACTTCTTTTTAGATTATTTTTAATCAGGGCACATTAACAACCTGATGTCTACAAATATTGTTTTGTACCACTTAACTCATTTCCATTTTTATCCGATAATGTACATTTAGTTTATTTAAAAAGAGCAACATAAAGCTAATGGTTCAAAGGTAATAGTAGTACGCAATATGGGCAAGTTAATTTTTATTTTTAGTATTTTTACGAATCAACAACACAGAGGGGCTGGTCATTAATATTAGTAAATTGCCGTAAAATTCTACTTTACGTGCATTAGCAGCATTACAATTATTTCGCATTACTTGACATACTTATTATGGCTATCGATTTTATTCGAATATGGGCAACATAAAAACTGTTGTTAGAAACCATTCGTAACACCTAGGACTCCAGACTAAGTTACCACTCTGTATCCAGCAAAGGATTCATTCTGTCCCTAGAATGAGGCAGCAGAATCGCAGAATTAACAAAAATAAGTATTCCAATACCTAATTTCTTTGACTTTCGTAGGTCAATATATATATATATATATATATATGTATATATATATATATATATATCGTATATATATATATATATATATATATATATATATATATATATATATATATATATATATCACTATAAAGTGCTAAAAAGTAACGCAGTTAGCATTGTGATAAATAATTCATATTATTATTCAATCATAATTATCATCATTTCGATAGTCTAAAATAAATATCGAACATACATATCGAATATTTTTTTATAGCGATATATCGCAATAAAAAATATCGATAATATATATCGATGATTGTATGGAAAAACATCAATATTTTTTAATATATCGATATTTTTTGCCCATGCCTAGCACAGCGGACAGCCAAGGGACGCCCAAAGTCGAAAAAAATATCGATATATCGGTCAAATTTTCAGTTTTACAAAATAATGTATGTGGTTCAGTCTGATTCAATAATACGTAATAGTAATTTTTATACCAAACTCACATTATTTAAATGAATAAGAAATTTTAATAAAACGTTAATTATTTATTAATTTTAATCAAATTTTAGATCAACAGAATTTAGCAATAGTTGTTTGATTGACATGAAAATGCTGAACGACAATTTAAAGAAATTATATAAGTGGATAAATGATAATTTTTTGAAAATTCGATATTACTTGATGTGGCATTTAATTAGTGGGAATTTGATTATAAATAAATTTTTGTTTACTTTATTTGCATATTAAATTAAAGTAACTTTAGTTGATGCCATTTATATTTTGCATGCTATTTATAAATTAACATAACATGTAGTTCAATATTAATGATTTTCAACACCTCTATATCATTAAAATATGTAGAAAAAACCACCTAACCACCTCTATATCATGTTGTACCTTAAATATGGATAGTATAAAGTACGAGGCATCAAATTGTAGTATAAATACCATAAATATAGTACAAAATGCAACTCTGCATCCGCGACAATACTATTAAGGACCAAGACAATATTAATGGACCATAGTTTTTTTTTCAAAAAAATATCGATATTTTTTCGGCATCCCTAGGACAGCCCTTTAAAAATAAAAAAAGTGAAGTGGCGGTCGGCGGAACATTTTGTCTGTTTAGATTTGTATTACTAAGAAAGATTTATTTTATTAATTAGATTGCAATTAAAGAAATAAGATTTCTTTTATAATGGGCGAAACACCTGAGGTAATATTATGTTATTTAAGTATACTGGTGTGAACAAAATATATGAAGGGACACGTCACAGCTTCTCATCTCAACTATTTTATGAATTTTTGAGGAACGCTAATTCGTTTGTAATTATTTTAGATTTACTTCAAAGTATTTACGTGCGCTTTGTTCATTTATAGGTAGTTAAAATTAATAAATGGGACGGCGCTGCAGCAAAAAATGCCATTGATGATGCTATTCGAGAGGTATATATAAAATAGCACCAACTTTACAGAAATAAATTGAAGTAACTTTCTTAAAATTGTCTTGTTTTGTAAAAACAGGTTTTAACAGGAGATCTCAAGTGTAAGGAAAGTTTTGCACTAATTGATGGACGGCTGTTTTTGTGTGCCTTAGCTGTTGGTGTTGCTCTATATGCACTCTTATGGGATTATCTTTATCCATTCCCTCAATCTAGGTAAATGAAACTATTTAAACTATTGTTTTATATACACTAATCCTAATTTTAGTCTTAATTTTTAGGGTTCTGTATTCAAAGGTTAAAATGGGACCTTTTTATTAAGATTTAGCTGGCTGCCTGTCAGTCTGTCACCAGGCTGTATCTCATGAACCGTGATAGTTATTTGAAATTTTCACAGATGATATATTTCTGTTGCTGCTATAAAACCAAATACTAAAAAAACATAATAAAAAAAATATTTAAGTGGGGCTCCCATATAACAGAGATGATTTGTTTTGCTGCTTTTATAGATACGGAACCCTTCGTGCTCGAGTTTGACTTGCACTTGGCTGGTGTTTTCATTTTACACCTTTTACTGTAATCGCTACAAAAATCCTAGTCTAACAAATAATTTTTTTTGCAGATTGGTTCTTATCATCTGTGTATCCTCTTACTTTATTCTAATGGGGATCCTTACTTTATACACAACATTTAAAGAAAAAGGCATATTTGTTGTTGCTCGGGAAAATGTCGGAAACAACACTAGAATATGGGAAGCAAGTTCATATGTTAAAAAGTAAGTTTTGACCAAAAATAAATCTTACCTATCTATTGGCTTTAGCTTTGAGGTTTCAGTTAACACAGAGATTTAATTTTCACATGCCATCCCAAATGCCATGTCTTCCTTGGCAAACTCTATCTAACATTATTATGATGATCATCAAATCATAAAATATCATTTAGGGGTTCAATAATTTTTTTTTGTGATGTTGCTGCTTTTGTTATAAAATATTTTCCCCTTTAAGTGAATGTTTTAACATTTTAATTAAATGTTAATATTAAATTACTTAATTACAGGCATGATGACAAGTACAACCTCATTATTGTGATGCGTGACTCAAATGGTAAAATGCGAGAGGCTTCTATCAACAAATCATTCGCCAACTTCATTGACACAAATGGGACTGTTGTACAAAACTTGGTACTAAATGAAATAAACAAACTTTACAATTCACTGTCATCTGAGAAAAAGGAGAAGTAAGCATATAAACTTACATTAAAGTTTATTGTACTTTCGAATAAAAAATAATTAATAAAAATTTGAAAACCTTACACTTGTTTTTTATCCAATTACTTTAAAACACAACTAAATTTATATTTTGAATTTTAATGTAGCTTTAATTTATTACAGTCAGTTTTGTCTATCTAATTAATATTCATTTAAAATTACCCAAATTGTCTTTTGTTTGACTCAATAATGTATGTCTGGGATGTTGCATCACTTTGCATTTTCTACCCCATATATCACGGGGAGTGCTCTGAGAAATTCACCGTCGTGCGTGTCACGCGTGCTCATATACCTAAATATTTCTAAAAAAAAAATACTCGCGGAGATATACTGTAGAATTAGGATTAATGCACTTATCATTAATAATGAAAATATACAATAAGGGAGGCTTTTTGAGAAGTGCCCAAATTTACACAGGAGGTTCAGACTCGGTAGTATAATCGTTTATTGAAATGATAAACAAAAATTTTTTTTTTCAAAAAAAATGCCATTCTATTCCCTAAAAAACAGAACTTGCTTACAATGCGGTAGTCATTCATAAAACCCAAATTTTACTGTGCACGAACTTGTGTGCGTGTTAGTTATGAATGATCGTGCGCAAAGTAAATGAGTTGCGTATAAATCACGCACTTTTTGAGATAAGTTCAAATGAATGTAATTAATTACTCACGGGTAATTTTAACTATTTATAATTTTTATATGACATTTATGTCTAGAATTTAATAAAAAAAAATGATACACTTAGAAAAGCCTCCCTGTATATGAATTGTTACAATGTATATTTCAATATTTATGTATATTGCATGTTGGTATAATCCAACGGACTTAAGTGTGTATCGGAGGCGGGCCGAACTTCGTGTCTGATGAAGTCTTAAGTCAATTCCACACGCCACAGGTCAGTTTTGCATGCTTTTCGGTCTATGAACTGGCGCAGAATCTCGCTGGAATACCCAGTATGAACATGGTATGAGAACGGGGTTCCACAAGGTTTGTGAGGACTATTTTGATACACAACTACATTCGTTTTTATGCCTTTCACATAAAAATATACATCGGTTAGCCCGAATATGGAGGTCTCGCGTCTTCACTGTTGTGGGCGTACGCCTTATCATTTATTTTATTGTGGCTCTCATCCACTTTTAAAAATCTTTATATATACATATACAACGTGTCGTTACCATCGCGACAATAAATGAACACACGTCTAACGCTACTTGCCAATAATCATAAAAAAATATTAACGTTAAACAAAATCCATAATTAAAAAAAAAATATTTTTCAAACAAACTAATTAAGTAAAAAAGAAAGAAAATTTGTAACATCCTATACAATTCGCGCCACAGCGTCGCATTACAAGCCTCTCCTTCTAAAAGTATGTTTTGTCTCTTTTAAATTCATTCAACCCATTCATATGCTTTGTGACCTTTACAAATGAACTTTACGTTACGCTTTTTTAGGTAAGGATGTTCTAAAATTCTTTGTTTTGGAAAATTTAATAACTCTGTAAATATTGATGTTTAAAGAATTTAAATGTTTAATACAACTTTAAAAAGCTATCCCCTATATGTGTGTTTATTTATTGTCGCGATGGTAACGACACGCTGTATATAAATATATATATATATACACATAACTTTTATGTAAGTGTGTATGTTACTGAACTCATCCTAAATGGCTGGTCCGATTTTAATGTTTTTTTTTTATTTGTTACTCGTTTTTTTTATTTATAAGTTCGAATTTAAGTCGTGTGTACAGGACAACTCCTGTCGGGTGCTCTAGTATATTTCTAAGATAAAAGTAGCCAGCGTTACTCCTCATTACATCATCTATCTGCCATTGTCCCGCCAAAATCGGTCCAGCCGTTTCAGAGAACAAACAAAATTGTAAAAAAAATATTTTGGTATTATTATGTACCGTGTATACATCCATATGCATTAAGTAAAAAGCGGTTATTTTCATACTACAAACAGACACTCCGATTTAATTTATCTGTATAGATGGAGCGATAAATGATGGATGATGACTCGATGACACCGTTGCTAAGCTATTGGCTTCGGCGTCGGGGGTCGTGGGTTCAATTCTGATCTTTGGTTTATATTAAAATGTTTCAGTAGTTCGAAAATCTGACTTGGCGCGTAACAGCACCGTTGCAAAGCGATAACCACAGCTAACTTTAAAAATAAATCAAACTCCAAATAGATGGCGCCAAGCATTGCTTCAAATGCTAAGAAAACAATGTAGAAGAATACGTTAAGATTTTCGTCGGTGTTGCAATCAGCCGTTTAGCTCAGTGGCTAGAGCGTCAGGCCGCGAATGCCGAAGACGTGCCACAGCGGCGACAATCTTTTCGCACTTTTTCTACATATTTTAATGTTCAATCTTAAGTGCAAAGATTAGCACTATAAACAATTTAAATTTCCAAATAGTGCACATTTACATTTTCGTAAAACATTCGAAATTGGAATTTAATAAATATTTTTGTGACCGGCGTTCAAAATTCAAAGATTTTCATTATACAACGGAACTACATATTAACGAATAAATATGTAAACAACAGTTGAAAAACGATAACATACAATACAATACAATAATATATACCTTCTCAGCTTATGGACTTTTAAATAAGGCAGTATGGGTCATGTGTATAGGAGGAGATATAGTTCCAAAGCAGTGCCATCTGGCAATGAAGAAGTCGGTTAAAAAGTTAACGAAGGACTCATTGAAATATTAAACAAATTTAACATCGACCTTTAAACGGACAACAATTTAAATAGACTCGGACATTTAATATTTCAGGTCGCACAATAATTTGTTGTACGACGATGTAGAGCTAATGTTAAAGTTAAAAGCGTTTACGTCATCTGTATCAAATACGGAGCAGTTTGTTTCAGTCGCTGGTTAGCTGGTTCGGCTAGCAGTGCATACTGGTTCGGCTAGCAGTGCATACTTAGGTGGTGTAATCTTTATTTTTCATTAAGTTTCTAGTGTTGCCTTCTAAGCCAATTTTTGATGCCTGAGCGCTTCGTTGAGGGGTGGAGGGCGTGGGGCTCGTCCATGTCAACAGCGAATATGGAAAGTAAAAAGTGGGCTATTGTAGATTTTTAAGGTTCCTTTTTTATTGTTGCAAAAAACCCAGCCGTCACCACATTTCTAGATATTGTAATTCTCCACTTACCTTAACCGAACAAACGCGGGGCTTTGAGGTGACGTCAATTTCAATTCATGGAGTACAAGGTGTGAAATCCCACCTCATATTATGTTTTAATACACCTTGTTTTGTTTCGCAATTTATTTACTTGAAACATTTGACGATTACAATTTGATTTGTTATGAATACTACTACAACTTTGCTACTGATCACGTGCTCAGCAGTGAAGGGAATAATCGTAAGGAAACCTGCATATATTCTAAATAGCAATAAAAAATAATTCGAACAATTTTGCCAATCCGGTGGGTCGCGTGGTGGACTATGCCCTAGCCCTAATATACTCTACAGGGGAGCCCTTTGCCCAGCCCAGAAAAATATATAGGCTGTTACCTTACTGTTATAAGCATATTGAATGAAGTTATGTTTAAATTATTTTGAGCAGCTTTTCATAAGTAGTTTTCAATGATGCAACTAGATGGCGTTATATACCGACTCGTTTGGAGCTAGCTACATACTTCACTCTACAATGAGTCAGTGGGCGCTAAATCGAACGTAGGACTGCAATGTCAGTCGCTAGGTGGGTCGCGGATCGTTAAAGCGCGGCGCGAAACATCGGTCGCGCGTTGATTTTCGATTGGCTAATATGCAGTTTAACTGTTAATGTAACACGTAACCCAAAAGTAGTGTTGTAGACTCTCGTTACATAAATTAGTGATGAGTTACCACCTGTGAGCTACCACAAAGAATTTCATCTAAACTTTCAGTAAAGAACTAATGCAAAACTGTCCATGCCCTTGCGTACTATAATTAGTTATTTTTATATAATACCCGACTACATGCATGCATAGATTTCTCATCGAGTAGATAAATAAAGGTAAGATTTAAATTTCAATCCGGAAAATATCCGATCTATAATTTTTCCTATGAACGAAATAATGGGTTTATTTTAATGGGATTCCGATTCGAATACAAAATGAAAATTTTATATAAAATGCGAAGATCTAAACGCCTAACATTATTTAATATTGAGTATAATTTATGTTACAATGTGGACATTTGAATTTGCTCTTACAAGAGATTATGGGTTATTTCTGGTGTCAAACCACATCGGACGTCGCACACAGCTCAGGTTATGAATGGAAATGGCAAAAGGTACCCGTTTCTGCTGGCATTATGACATCATCCTACGGTACCGATGGTCTCTCAAGGACGTGTCGACTTTTAGAGTAGGGTTTACCGGTCCTTTACTATTTTAACTTAAAAGTCGCTAAACTCGTGATCACTTACAATTTAAAGCTACATGCAAATGTATAATAACATTATTTGGGACATGTAATTATTTTCTATTGATTTGTTAGACAATAGTATTCCTTCGCTCCAAGAACAATCGTAGGTACACATCATGGGTATATTTCGTGTATTGTATCGACAGGTTTGTCTGCGGACTCTACTTATGGGCACGAGCGTAAAATGGGTAAAGGGCTGTTTTACGTAAACCGTCACATGGCGATTAATTGCGTTAATAGTTAAGCGTGTATTACAAATCACCTGACTGCTCGGCGCCGTAAGCGCTCTATTGCTGTTATCTAGAAGCTGAGGCTATTTTTGTTTTGGCTGAGCCCATAAGAGTCTGGGTATATTAGATAATTCTATTCAAAGTAATAATTATCTACTAATTGTAGGTAATATGTCAATAAGGAAATGTGACCTACACGGCATTTTCATATAGCTCTGAATTTTTTGACGAACTAAAAAAAATGGTGAATATTTCGAAATGTATTTTTTGTGCAAAATTTTTTTGATAATTTATTTAAGATTTTGT